TCTCTCTCTCTCTCTCTCACATTCATCCCGAAGCGCCCTCGCACGCTTTCGGGAGCTTGGAGCAGCACCCTGCCCTACAGGGTGCTGCGTGCAACTTCGCGCACGGTTCTTCTGAGCTCGCCGGACCGCCGCTGGCCTGGCGAGAGCCCGTCAAGGGCTTGCCTCGTGCTTTCGCTCCTGCGGAACCTCGGCTGAGATTTGCCTTTGTCACATGCATGCGCCTTCTTACATCCTTTTTGCATCGCTTCACACGAGGAAAGCGAGGGAGCTTTGGAATGCACTTTCACAGCTTCACTCGGTAGCATTCAGGGCCGTGCAGACATAGGAAGAGCTCGGCACTGCAAGGATGGATGAATTCGGCTCGCGGCGAGTATCGGCCAGACCACTACAAAACCCGCATGTGTAAGTTCTTTCTGGAGGCACCGCTCAGCCGAAACCTGAGCAAAAACAACGACGTGAGAATCTGGAAATCTCCATTTACAGTAAGTGTTGACATCTGCTCAGTCTCCCAGCATTGGCAGCACCCTGCAGGGCAACTGCGCCATCGGAGATGAGTGCAGGTATGCACATGACGAGAATGAGTTGCCAACAAGTGAAGCCGATCCGCTGAAGGATGAAGGCCGTTCGTATGTTCAAGCTTTAAGGCTCTGCCTAAGTTAAGAAAGGGGGCCTTGACGCTTGGCGAGGTGCTCCTCGTCCTCCGGGCGAAAAGCACGTGTTCTTCAAGACACGGCTGTGTCATCTCTACTTCAAGGCTGGGGTGCAGCAATCATTGCGCGAGAGCGATGAGTGGTGTCCACTGAAAGGGCTTTGGTCTCGGTTCATGTGTGGGTTGTCGAGCACGAACTTGACTTGGCCTTTGTTACTGGTGGTAGTGTGGGATGGCGAGGGGACAAGACAGAGTTTCAGTTTCCAAAGTGGGAGCCGCCACTTGTCTGAGGATGAGCTTCTGCTTTGTTTTGTCTGTGTGTGCGGGGATAGCAGCATGGCGCAGAGACTGTCTCAGTGTCAGGATGTGTCCGGTTTGCACGTGTGGTATTTGTGAGTGGTGTTTAGATTTGTGTCTGTGAGTGGCGAGCTTTCAGCCGTGGGCCTTGGTGATTGATAGCTGTGGAAACCGATCCCTGCCAGGGCATGTGCCACCGGGGAAGTGCCTGCAACTACGCGCACGGCGAGGAGGAGCTCCAGAAGCCAGCGGTGAGTGAAGGCGGTTGGATTGTGCTACCTCTGTGACTGTCCGTACCTCTCACCGACCTCCCTGAGGTGAACCTGGCACTAGCAGCAATTTTGGGATCGTGGTGCCCAGCATGACGAGTGGAGCGACTGAAAAGCTCGGCGACTCGGAAAAGGAGCTGGCCGACCGTGCCTTGTGCAGTTCGTGAGTCGTGGGGTTGTCGGAGAGTGTGAAGATGTGCACTCCTTTGCCCTTCTTAGCATCTTGGCACAGTTTTGTAGAAAGGGTACACACGTAGTGACTGCAGCCCCTGCCATGCGTCAAGTCACGCGCTCAGTTCCTGGCAGGCGTGTTCGTGCGCCCTTGCCTGTTCTCTTGGCTTTAATTTGCTACTTCGCTCCAGCCTTTGTACCTGGATCCATTAGCCGAAGTCTCTTGAGACAGCAGAAGCTTGCTCAGCTGACCGGCAGCCGAGACGTGCGCTGCAGGGCGAGGGGAGGCGAAGATGACTCTGCCATAGCAGTCGGTGATCCCGTTGAAGGTCTGTACCCAGATGATGAGCAATGGTATCCGGGCGTTGTAGACAAAGTGAACAGTGATGGCACCTACACCGTGAAGTGGGAAGATCCTGAGGGTGGGCCGGAGAGCCACAACTTAGAAGCAGCCAGCATCAAGAAGATCATAATTTACAAAGACTACAAAGTGGGCGAGGCCGTGGAAGGTGTCTTTCCCGATGATGGCATGTGGTACCCAGGTGAGGTTACCAAAAGTAATGAGGACGGTAGCTTCACCGTGAAGTGGGAGGATCCCGACGGTGGCCCAGAAACCTCAGATCTGCAGCCACAAGACATGAAATATCCTCCGATTCCCTTTGAGAAGCTCGAGGTCGGCCAGAAATATTCAGGAACCGTCCGTTCCGTCCTGGACTTCGGCGCCTTCGTTGACATCGGCTCGGAGTCGGATGGCTTGCTCCACATTTCTAGAATGTCCAGGGAAAGGATCGACAATGTCTACGATTTTGTTCAAGAAGGGCAGCAAGTCGACGTGTGGATCAGCGGAAAGCGAGATGACGGAAAATACGGCCTCACCATGGTTGAGGGTATGACTGATGACGGGGGGCGCCGTGCTCCTGCGGACCTCACTCCGTTCCAGGATCTTTCCCCAGATGAGTTCCAGAAAGGCGTAGTCGCCCGAACAGCTCCATTCGGTGCTTTCGTGACGGTCACGCTTGAAGGGGGTGCATCTGCAGATGGCCTCGTGCACGTGTCACAGATAAAGGACGGATTCGTCGAGAACGTTGATGATGAGCTTTCTGTCGGTGACGAGGTTCAGGTCCGTGTGCAGTCAGTAGATCTAGATGCCGGTAGGATGAGCCTCTCCATGCGCGCCGGCTTCGGTGGTGGTGGTGGAGGTGGCTTCCGTCAACCTGCTGATCTGTCTGCCTTTGAAGGCGTTTCCCAAGATGAGTGGCTGACCGGGAAGGTTGCTAGATTGGCACCCTTCGGTGCCTTCGTCACCGTCACAGCCAACGATGTGTCTGCAGATGGGCTGGTCCACATCACTCAAATCAGGGATGGATTCGTGGAGAGTGCGGAGGCCTCAGTTGTGGTCAGTTGCAGGCTAGGCGCGGTTTGTTGGATAGGTCGCCTTTCTGCACCGAGGTTGAAGATGAGCTTTCCGAAGGTCAGGAGGTGCAAGTGCGCATCGAATCTGTTGACACGGACAACGGCAAGATGAGCTTGTCAATGAAGCCCGCAGGGTTTTGATCCAGTTATTTAGAGTTCAGCTTGTACTGTACACTGCGAACGCATTTGTGTCGAAAGATCCCTTCTGTGTTGGCCAAGTATCCATCCACATATATCATATATATCATATATCCACATCTAGAGAATCATCGGAGGAAGCTGCGACATGGGCTTGCAGTCTCAGTCGCTTGTCAGACGATGCGTTGCCTACAAAGGCAGTTTTGCATCGACATGATGCTTGCTGGTGCGGACTGGCAAGGAAAAGTCTCATCGGAGATCCACTAGCTTGAGTGTCACGTCGGTCTCAGTGCCCCTCTGCTGAGCTTCGGGAGGTTTGCACGTTCTGGGCTTTTGCATAGAGCGAGAATTATGGTCAATTTTCCTGAAGAGTCTTCTAGATACATATCACGATCGTCGCAGCGTGTGCGGAGCTCGTGACTCCGTCGTTTGATGGAAGTGCACAGAGCACCGCACGCGCGAAGCTTTCGACTCACGGCCGGAAGCGCCGGGCCTTGAGGTGCTGTGTGTGCTGCGCGAAAGGCGACTGAACCCAACATGTCGCACTGCTGGGGCCACATGCTGGCCAAGTTGAAAGCCAACCCCTCGGAGATCCCCCGAGTTCGCTCGCAACGAACGAGACCGGTTTCCTCCACCCTTGAGGGCTGCAGGCCACCCCTGGTTGCAGTAGGAAAATGCAGCAATGTGGAGCCAGCGTACAGCGACTGCAAGCTGTCCATGAGGCTGATATTCAGTCCAACAAGCTTACATGTTTTAGTAAGTATTCATACATCGTCTTCCATGCGGCGCCTCTGGCTGATTTGCGTGGGCCGCTGCTGCACAGAAGGACTCCGGCCTCGGTAAACACAGCGTTGCACAGGGGCCCGCTCGTGGGTGTACACCCTCATCAGCCTGGCAAGAGGACATGCAGAAATGAGCCGGGGAATGTGAAAAGCTTGGCATAGCTTGGCCAAATCGTTTGGTGCAAGTGACGGCAACGCCTTCTGCTCGCTTGCTTGCTCGCTTGCTTGCAAGCTCGAGATATTCTGTGCTCGAATACGGTCATGCGTGAGAACACATCAACCTTGAAAACTATCCAAACTTTTGCATCATCGCGTTGCATGCGCAGGATCTGAAGGGCTGAATGTGTTGCCGCTTGGCCATATGCAATGTGATGGGCAACACTTTAAAGCATCATGTTGGTACGTGCGACTCGAAACAGAAGCCGCTCCCTCGGCACTGAAGGTTTGCCTGCCATGTGTTGATGGCAGGCTGTCATTCTGCCGTTTGCTGCGCTTTTTGAAGGCTACTCGTAGCTCTTGTTAGCCGATTGTGATGATTCTCCTGACGAGAAGAATATGGAAAAACAGTAAGCAGGCTTGTTCGTGATGCCAATGGTGACGTCGGCGGACCGTGTTTTGCTCCTGCCGGCAGAACTCCTGCAACATTCGACTGTACCGCGCTGATCGTGCATAGCGCCAAGCGGCTGGGCCCTGTAGCGACAAACTTGTCGAGGCGGTGTGTAGAGCGTGGCGCGACAGACAGTACGCCCCGCCGTGTTCACTTCGTGCTCGTGGGCGTCGGCTCCTTAGATGACCGATTCGAGGCGGTTGATGCGGCATGTATCCTAGGCCGTTCAACGGTCAACCGACGACTTTGTTGCTCTGGAGGGCGTCGTGTGCTGATGAAAACGTTTCTGTCCCTTGCCGTCTCGGCAGCGCCCCATGAGCCCCTGGTCGGCCATCACAGCATAGCTTGGGAATATGCATTTGTACGAAATCCGTGCGTCTGTCTAGCGACATGAGCACATTCTCTGTGCTCAGGTTTGGACAGGCATGCGTGACTATGCTGACGACTCCAATTGACTTGAACTGATGTTGCTGATGCTGCTGTTGTTGCTGTTGCAGATTCGCCCTTATGGCACTCTGACGAGCTGTACTCCATATCACCATCAACACTATGCTTATGGAGGCATTCAGTTATCGGGTACCGTGGGCCCCCCCCCCCTCCGAAAACTAATCCCGTGCCGGGACCTTGGTATACTTCTTGATTTGTGCACCATTCGGGCCACCTTGTGGCGTGTCGTGCTTGCGCAGGGGCAATGCTTCAACATTCCTGAGCCTGACAAGCGTCTCGTCCGTACGTCAGGGGCCATTGTTCATTGAACCTAGCAAGCTCAAGTGCAGTTTCCGATCAATGCGGAACGACTGTGCCAAGCGCCCCTCCTCACGGGACCGTGCCTGCGAGAGTGTGTCATATATTCTGCACATGAAGCGGGCGCCACAAGCTCTTGATCACACACAGCAAAGACGGGGTTTTCACTTTCGGGCGCCTTTGTGCCATGCCCGGCTGCGGTGATCGGACAGCTCCTGTCGGCGCCGGGCTTGCTCGGCCGCTTCGTCGGCTCTGTGGTGGGCCGCGTCCCAGCGGCGTGCAGGGAAAGGCTTAGCTCACAGAGCCTTCACTTTCAGTGGCACTACCCCTCGGCACTTCACCCCGGGCTTGGGGGTGGCTGCCGTTGGGCGTCCTCTTAGGCTTGGTTTACACCGAGCACCGGGAGCTGCGATGGTTGCCTTGGCGGTTAGACGGCCTGCAGAGTGCGCTCCGGGCAGCTGGCCCCACAGACCGCGAGCAACTACGTGTTTTTATTCACATGTGTTTGGTAGGATTGGGAAAGCTTGGCGTTGCCTTTACCGCGCGGCACCTTCCGCAGCGACTGGCCTAAGCTTCATGTCGCATGCATAATTTGTCGCAGCATGCATAGAACATCAGCAGCATCATCACTACTTCGTAGACAGACTCGGACCTGAGACAACCGTCCACCCGGTCACCAGTGAAACGAAAACACATCGGACTTATGGCGAAAACAAACCACTTATAAGCCATCGCTGCATGCTGGAGAGAGAGAGGCATGCCTAAAAACGACCGTGGGTCACGTTTAGAACGGTGAAGCAAGCTGTACGACATTACAATGTGTGGTGTCACACATCGTGCGAAAGCTACGAAAGGCACATGAGCTAAGGCCAGTGACGGGGAATTGAGCGGACTCGGCCTTTTGGCTATGATCAAGCGTAGTATCTGTTCTTACCAGTGTGACAACTAATATGTCTCCAACGGGGGACTTGCTTGTCACATCTATTTTTGTTGGGGAAGTGTCTTCATCATGAGCTCGCTCAGAAGCCCTCACGTGCACTGCTATAGCACCAAAGCCAGCGGCAACACGCCCTACTAAAATACTGACCGCTAGATGGTTGTTTCAGGACTCCTGCTGCTGCTGCTGCTGCTGCTGCTACTGCTGTGACATCATTGCAGAATTGTGCAGCATCAACTCGACGCCGTTGCATGTGAAACAATCAGTTTTGACGTCGCTCACCAAAGAGAGGGCAACCCTGAAGCCAACGTACCAAATTCCAGTGTGGATCACCAAATGAGCCTGGCTGCTCTGCGCCACCAGAAGTACGGTGACGCGCACCACGCCGGCCAATGTCCATTCACGGATGACATCCCGAGCGCGCACCGCAGCGATCACCTCGCACAGCGATCACGTCACGGACCATGCTCGGGCGCGCCGCACCGCAGCCCTCGTCCACCTCGTGGAACTCTCCGCAGCGGCTCGTGCGATCACGGCTGAACCGCTAGCCCCCCCCGTATTGGCAACACCATCACCGCGACCCGGCGAGGCGGCCGCCCGCACCGTATGCGCCACTTGCTGAAGCGACGCTCGTGCTTTCGCAGGGTATAGCTGTGAGCCCTGCTCCTCCATGCCCTGTTTACCACTGCGGAGGCACCAGGGGGCCCAATGCAAATTAAACGCTACCCCGGCTGGCGGACCCCGGCGCGATCAGTTGAGGGGGCAAAAGTCAGCGCGCCTCTGCGAAGATTTCATGTCGCTCTGGCGCTGGCCCGTCGCCAAGGTGCCCTCTTGCAGACAAGGCCATAGTTGCCACATCACATTTGACGAGCCCGGTTTGTAGGCAGGCACTGTGACGCCGAAGTCTGAGTGCTGCGGGATCCATGAGCTGCAGCTAGAGACACTTTATTGGAAGGCTTTGCCATGGAATGGGGCTCGGCAGTTGCACACATGTTCAGAAGAAACTGCTTAGATCTACAGCCCGCTTTGCGAGCCTGCGCTGCAGGGGGCCAGTCATGCAAGCAAGATCTAGAGCCGCTGGAGGACGAGCCCATACCTGGTGGACTAGCAACCCGTCCAAGGGTGTAAGGAGACACGCTGCGCCAGGTGCAGCCGCGCGGGATACTCGCGCGCACGAGCCTTGGCCGACTGCCCCGAGAAAGCCATGGCCTCTGGGCCGAACCTGCCGCGAACTCCCAGGGCGAGCACAAGCAGTTTGCAACGGCGTGCGACCGCAAACTCCGGGTATGCGTGGAAGCGTTTGCGTTTCGCCGCCTGTTCAAGCGCCGTGCCGGGGACGGGCGCCTGGGCGCCCTGCCACAAAAGCAGTCCATTCGCTAGTACCTCGATGCGACGGCCATCAGCGAGGGGCACGTCGATATTCATGTCCCGTGAGAAGACGTTGGTTGCAACTGTACACTGGCTTCGCGGCGCGGCCCTTTCCAACGCTGCCCCGCGCGTTCCGAGAACACCGGCAGTGGGACACGCAGTACGGTGGTCACCCAAGGCATCGAGTGCACCTCCACACCGGCACCGCCGTGGCCCGAGTGGCACGGGCAGCCGCAATCGTCTGAGCAACACGACTCGGAAGCACGATCGAGTTCGAGAGTTGGAACCCCGGAGCCGTCGGAAGTGCGGTTAGCGCACGGGATCCGCCAGGGCCTGCCTGGGACAGCATCCACGGTCGCGAAACCGGGTCAAGGTCAGAAAGAAGGCTGTTGAACATAGGCTGCCGAACATGACCGCAACATTTTGTGCTGCCTCGCCCAGCTGCTTCACACTGTGCCCGGCGATGCCGATCCCCTGCCCCAGTCCGCGGCCGCGCGCGCCAACTTGTCTCTGCGCCATGGCGGACTTGGTCTCCGGCGGCTGAGCACGCGCCAGCAGCCTACTT